TTTCTTTGCTAGACTTCTTTTGGCCTTATCGATAACTCTCCATGTAACTGAGTACTGAATTTCTTACTTATAAGCGTGTTTAAACATTATCACCACAGGTCCAAGATGTTGAGTTTGCTCAAGTTCAAATTCAAGTGGCAGATGGACTAAAGCAAGGAAATGAGGCACTTAAAAAAATGCATGAGGTATGTAGTGTATATATTAAGTACGTGCACATCCTATTTCAAGAGCCTCATAAACAAAGTGGCCCAGTGTGTAACTTGTGGGCTGAACTGATCACTTGAAGACAACGAACTACCATTTTCACTTGTAATACTTCAGCTAATGAGTGACTCATCTGATAGGTTGATCAAGCAAAGGATAATAATTATTGATCAAATCATTAATTGCTCACATGCTTAATTAACTGATTGTTTAATTGATCATCTGACTGAATGAAGAATGAATGACTGATTGATTTGATTGATTGTTTTTTTTGATTGATTGATTGATCGATTGATTGATTGACTGATTGATTGTAGCACGGGCTGTTATGTAAGTAGGTGCTAAAGGAGCACTCCAATAGTGTCTTGATCATTGTTCATTGTATCATAGATAATGTCAATAGAAGATGTGGAGAGAATAATGGATGAAACCAGGGAAGGAATTGAATACCAGAGGGTAGGTGCTGTTGATATCAACTGGAAAAACATGTCTTATTCTCTTGTTAACCACAGTCTTAATTTCATCACTGTAAGTTACAGTACGGGCATAATTCATTCATTTTTTCATTCGTTAGGAAATTGATGACCTTTTGAGTGGAAGTTTGACCCAGGAAGATGAAGATGCCGTGTTACAAGAACTCGAGGAAATGACACAGGTTGTATGACACATGTATTAGAACCAGTTACTGTTTTGTAGAATTCAATAAGTTCTTTTAGACTGATACAGAGCACTCATACTGATAGAGATAAACAAACCAAGGAACTAACATTCATGTCTGCAATAAAATGTTTAAGCCCGTCACGAAGGCAGAAAATTAATGCTGGCAAAAGCACAATAATCAATGGTAACACCAAGAAACACAAGATGTAGCATTAAAAAATTTCAATTGTTATGCTTGTCAAGTGCATTTCTCAGTATTTATGTAAATTTCTGTGGTTGTACTTTAAAAATGTAACTATGTATTGGTGCATCTGTTGATCATGAAAACCAAGAACAAGAAATTGTTGAAGCAGCAGCCGATATGCCTTATAAAATTTTTAACTTCACAGGATAAAAAGAATGACAAAGTGCACATTGTAGGATTTTATGTAATGCATTGCACTCCAGATCCAAATGTTGAGGGTTTGATCACTACCATTGCCCTGGTATCATGTTCCCAGAAAGTCTGTCACTTAATTCACTCAGTACATCTGTAGTAGTAGTAATGGTGATTTGTTACACATCACAACCTCACCTATCTTCTTCGTGCTCTGTTGCGCATAAGGCCGCAATTTTGTTACACATAACCCACAAAATTAACCTGACAAAACATTGTAATTAACTAGCATCAATTCCAGGGGTTTTATAAAGCATTTCTTTTCTTTGGGAACAAAATACACTGTACTTTCCTAAGACATAGTGGTAATATTCTTTTTTTTTTTTTATTTCAGTCTGTGACAGAGAATCTTCCAGAAGTACCAACAGAACCATTACCAGAAGTGCCCACAAAAGAACCTGGTATGTATTTGATAACAATGAGTATTACTGCCAATCTTTGACTATAACATTCATGAGAAATAGCAGTTTGGCAACATACTGTTTTAGTCTAAGAGTTTGAAGATTAATTAAATTAGTGTTGGTAAAATGGTCCCTTCCAATCTTTGCTGGCTGATGGTATGTCCTTGTGTGTGAGAGAGATAATTTTTTTTAATCACTGTTATTTTGTTCTGAAAATTTGTTTACAGGGGAGAAGAGACCACAGAAGGAAAGGGTAGCTTCGAGAGAAGCTGAGATGGTGCCAGCTTAGACATCATGCTATAAGCTGATTATTCCAGTAAATAAATTTGTTCATGGCTGGTACAATAAGCAGATCACTAATGGCTTGCAACCTATAAACTACACCTGTAGCCCATAGTCTGTCGCCTGTGCTATGCATGCTACACACAAGCCATACCCAGCACCCTAGGTGTTCAACCAGTGGCATATTAACAGCCTGTGTTGTAAGATATGGTATGTTGCAAGCAACTTGTGATCTATGAAACAGGACCTGTAACATGTGAAATGCAACCTGTTTAATATACCAGTCATCTTATTTGGATTGCATCTAAGAGAGAGGAGTATTTTTTCTCATAATCAAAATAAAGTCTTAAGAAGCCAAATACCATCTACAATAAGTCTTGTAGTTAGCATCAAATAACTTTTAATTTTAATGTGTGTTTTCGAGCAAAAATGTTGATTGGAAATTGTATCACAAGAGAGAGTGGTATTACAGAAAGTTCACTTGGTCTTGAAAGGACCAAGACTCTAGCCTTTACAGTAGCCTTTTCTTAAAAAACCACGAGCAGAATATAACCTGAGAAAAAAATAATATTGTCAAGTATAGTCATGTAGTCTGTTAAAGAGCCTGCCCCTATCCTGAATCCAAAAAAAAAGCAGCTTTCTGCACGTATTGCATGCCTGTGATACAAGCAGCAACTCAAATTATGTTGTAATGATATACCACTATGTTAACCTGTGTACTGTCACTGATTGGTTAAATTAGTGTCAATCAATAAGAGACTTTAAGGGACATTTTTATTTGTGTTATGGTTTTCCTCACCAGCAATGCAAGATTAGATATCCTTGTAGAATAATGATGTACACTTCTAACTAAACAAAGCGATAAATAACACATTTTTCCCTGATTATTTAACTGATATCTAAGGTAAACCTGGTTTCTGGATGAGCTTAGTCAAACGCTAAATGGATCTTTGGCATAAAATAGTCACACCAAACAACATCTACTGAGGTGGATGAGAAAAAAAGAGAAAAAAAAGGAAACGTTCAGCTTTAGTGGTTGAAGTCACTTTGTTTTGTAGACGCTAGCATTCTTTTGCCACCCAGCATGGTAGATTTGGTAGGCACCAGGGAGCAAAGAAAGCAAATTTTCGGGCTTGCCCTCTGGGCAAGTTCTAAAAAAGTTATGGTGAACTAGCCAGAACATCCTTATCACCAGTGCCAAAAAAGTTCATCTCAAGAGTTCTTCAATCTGTAATTTGAATAATTTTATCCTCAAAAACTTTCCTCAAGAAACTTCAATTGCCCATCGGGCAAGTGATGGACAGAATCCACTAACTTGACTAGAACATCCAAGAGCCTTCTAGGCTGTCGAACAGTACTTTCTTTGCACACTGGGTACCATATGACATGGGTACCATGTAATAAAGGGAATTGTTAGAACATAAATCAGCAAATCATAGACTGGCATGTTCAGATCTTTAAACCTTGTTTAGACTGCTATTTCTTTAAGAACTTTCTAAGGTTCTTTTGCATCATTGACCCTCTGTTCATGTTTAATATTTCACTCTGACACATGCTGCTGTTTAAGATGGCATAAGTAGAATTGGCAGTTTCTTTGGTTTTTTATATGTTGTTACTTATAACCTTATTGACAATGCTTTTTATAAATAAATATACAGGTGAAAAGTTGAGTTGCTTGTTTCTTTTATTCGATTTCTAATATTTTCAATGTCAGTTTTCCATGTACATGCAGGGTTGCCAAAGTAGGCAGCTTTATAGTTGGAGTAGGTGCCAATTTTGCGATCTTTTCAAAAGAATTTAGAAAAAAAGCCTGGCTGAGGAGCCAGTTACTTCTGACTACCCTGTACATGGAGTCAATACAGTTGACTATTGGGCATCTGGATCCCAAATAAAATAACTATTATTAGTATCACCCAACTAGTGGACTAATGCAAATCCTGCATTTTAATTGGCTGCGCTACTAGAGGACTATTAGTAATAGTCCTCGAGTAGCGAAATTGGCGCAGTCAAGCATGACGCTTTCTTGCATTTTATTCCCAAATAAATATTTCTTCAACTTGCATTTGCTAACTTTATTATTGCCTTTTCTGTCCCACTAGTTGGGTGATACTAAAATAATTAGACCCTTCGCCCTCTCGCCTTTGCCTCATGGGCAATTGACCTGTTGCCTGCAAGGGCTACGGGTCTAATTGTTAAACAGCAAAGTGGTTCTTATGTTTACTTTTGGTCAGGCACAACCATCACTGCAAGCTGACCATTTCTCAACTGTCCAGAATTTCTGGATGTTCATTCCAAAACACATCACCTATAATGTCAGTATGATGGATTACAATCTGTCTCGTTGATTTTCTAACACTACCTCCTTCAGCTGTGTTGTCAACAGCAACAGTCTGTAGAGAGCAAGATAAAACAAAGTCTGCGCTAAATGTTATGAAATTCCTGCATTTGTGTAGTGAGGGGTAAATGAGAGTGAAAGCTGGGGAGAGTAAGGGGTGAGAGGCGTGGGATGCAGAAGAGCCACACTTGCCCCGCTGCCCCTCTTTCCACCCTTGCCTTGGTAGTAAAGGGTGGTAGGAGTGCGGGGCAGCAAAGATGATGAGGATGACAAAAGTTTTAAGGCTGGCCAAAGTGCAGAGAGTGGCCAGGGTGGCCAGGAGAGTGAGGGTGAGGGGGTGGCAAGGGTGGCACTAAAGACAAAGATTGCCAGGGTGACCAGGGAGGAAAGGGTGGCCAGGTTGACGAGGGTGAAGAGGCTGGCAAGGTCCGAGGATAGCCAGGCCTTGCATGCAGTGGCTGCACCCGCAGTATGAGCAGCAGTCAAAACTGAGCTGCCCCACTGAAACAACACAATAATTATTATAGTCTTTTACTTCGCAGCAAACAAAACTAAAGAAAATGCTGAAGTTGTTTTGGCCTCTTCAAATACTTAGTTTGAGAACTCTGTGTTTAATTTGGTGAGGAACAACATAATTATTTTGTTCAAAATAACACTTTCCTTCCTGGTGATACTTGACAGGTGAGGAGCAAGTTGCGAACAACACTTTTTTGCTGCTAAATTAGGAAATGTTTCATATTTTCCACTTTCTACAATCTAATTTGGTGTTTGATACCACCCTGGTCACCCTGGCCAGGGTGACCAGGGTGACCGTGGTGGCAATGGTGGCCAGGGTGGCAAGGGTGGCCAGGGTGACCAGGGTGACCAGGGTGATCAGGGTGATCAGGGTGACCATGGTGGCCAGGGTGGTTTAATTACCTTCTCCCAGACAAGAACTGATCCTTTTCTGTACATCTGACGCAGGTTGTTGTAGTTGATGTTGAATTGAGAGAATAAGATTTCATTCTTGTCACTGGATACTGTGCCCTAATCAGAAAAGATTTCAAGAAGTCAGAAATGACCCAGCCCAGAAGGAGGGGTATATGTGTAGGGGTTTTTGGGAGGGGTCATAGGCAACTTCTGATTGATGATTGTACACATTTGGAGACTTTTTTGAAATACATTTTTTTCAGTTTGACAATTAAGAACTTTACAACAGATTCCAAGCAAGGAAGATCAGAATCCAGGATGTGCATATTTCTAGGTTTTATCCAAAAAAGTACATCTCTGCATACAATGCTCTCACCATTCCCCAACCAAACCAGTCACCATTTTGATCTATACCTTGACAATTTGGAGATAAAATCACATCCACGTACAGTATACAGAAACACATATCTTTGTTGTTATTAGATTTCCAAGAAAATGCAGAAGATAATAGCATTATCTTCTGCATTATCTTAATTATGCATGTTTCGCCCAGTTGTTATATAGTCAGCTAACGGTTTTTCAAATACTCTGTAACTGACAATGATGTCATAATCTTCTTAAAAGTTATGATAATAGCATTCTGTTTAGACATGATTAGAGGACTCCCAGAAAATGAAAATATTAATTAGACTTATCTGCTTTACTAACATTAAGTCTCTCCTCAGCTTGGTCTGCTGTAAGACCTGACTGTTGCACCAGACACCAGAAGCATGTGTTATAAAGGTTGTTAATGTGACCTGCAAGAATGAGTAGTATAAGAAACGAAAACAAAATTTTATTTTACTCTGAAGTGTCTCAATCAGGCCAGTTGCCTTCCCTTTTTTGGCCTACTAAATTAATACTGATCTCTCTTATAGATCATAAACTGTTGAGCTACAGTACTTACAATCTGCTTGTCTCCAGCTCATATAGTCTCTCAAGTTCTTCTCGTTTGGATAGAGAACAACTCGTCCATCAAACATTGGTGGATAGAGAAGCTCTCGAGAAGAGAAAAATTGGCTCCAATAAAACACATAAGAAGAGGAAAACAGTGACACAACATTCGTTACCAGCTTGCTGGAAAAAAAAGACAAAGAAAATAATTAACTTGCACAAAAATTGTATCAACAAGGCACAAAAACTCCTCATCCCTTAGCTAAGTGATCAAGCTTGAGTGAGCTGGCATAGCCTTTGGCTTACACGTTTAGAATTCAGGTATCATTAAGATATTTTGAATCTTTATATCTCAATATACTGTATATCCTCAAATAATAGCTGTGCCTTGATTAATTTTCCTCCCCCCGATCAAATAATTATTGTTCTCCTTTGGTGGGATTATTTAAGATAATCGCCTTGAATAATTGACCTCCTTCCACCCCCTCACTTCCCTTGAATAATCACCCCCTCCCCTCTCACTAGACTGTGGTAAGCATGGAGGATAATGCTGAAGTGCAGTATGATCCAGCCAGACTGATTGAGGACTCAAACTCTGAGGTCGAAGATATTGACATTGAAAACTAATCAAGTTGAGAACATTTAGAACGCCCAACATCAGTTGTTTTTAACTAACCTTCTGCAAACAATATTGAAATAATCACCCCCCTCAAGTTACCACCTCCTTTTGGTCCCTGGCTATTATTCAAGGAAATACCGTATTAAGAGCAGCTTCGCCTAAATATCAACTAGACTTCGAAATGGCGCAAAAATCGAATTTCTTCAAACTCACCCAGAATGAAGCCCTATGGCACTAGTTACAAAAATATTGTTTTAAGGTCGATAAATCAAAAATTATTTTCTTATGCAACTTTTTTGTTTCGATGCCCCAAATCGGCCAAAATCGATTGAAAATGAGCGGCATATTCAGAGGCTCATAAACTCAAAAGTAAAAATCTTCATTACAAACTGATTGCACGTCGTATTTGTACTTTCTTTCTTGTATATTTAGAGCTAAATAGATCGCAATTTCATTAGAACTAAAATATTTGACAAATTTTTTAAATTAATGACCTAAGACACCTTAACAAGAGGTCTACATTTAGCCTATTTTCAAATGGTAAAAAGGCCTTCTGGTACACGGCTTTTCCCAAAATGACTAATTTGGTCTGAAAGACCACTGTATCTTCTTCAAATTGGTGAAATAAAATTTTTGGGTAAATAAAATCGCGAGCGCTGAGATAGCGAACTAAATGCAGCACTTCTTCCTGAAACATGACCTTTGACACAAGCGTAATAAATACTGATTACTGCAAGAAAACCCGGAAGAAAAGCAAACGCTTCGTTATTTTGAAACATTTTCTAGTGATATCTCTCCAAAACCATTATTGCAAGAAACTATTTCCAGATGTGAAAACTTACAGGGTCAAAGAAGGAGCTAAAGGGCGCATTTGACACAATAACTTTGTTTGCTGAGAATTGGAGTCAATAACCGTTAACGAATTCCAGTGAAATTGAAAAGTAATGGAACTTATGAAGACGGCCAATTTCACTTTACATTTTTGGGGGTTGTTTATTTTGGGGTTGCCTATGGAAACTGTCAATGGAGTTCAGTTAGTATTACGACAAACATGCGGTTGGCATGTGCATGGAATTTATAGCAGCGGGCAGGTCACGGAACATTAAACATTTCTTCTTTTAGAGATTTGCAAATCTGGATCCAGCTTGTTTTGAAAGCTAATCCAAGAAGACTGCTATAAATATGAATATTCAGGTAAGTATCGGCTAACTACTTCAAGTTCATAAATTTCACTGGAATTCGTTCATTGACTTCAATTCTCAGCAAACAAAGTTATTGTGTCAAATGCTCCCTTTAGCTCCTTCTTTGACCCTGTAAGATTTCACATCTGGAAATAGTTTCTTGCAATAATGGTTTCAGAGAGATATCACTAGAAAATGATTCAAAATAACGAAGCATTTGCTTTTCTTCCGGGTTTTCCTGCAGTAATAGGTATCATTACGCTTGCATCAAAGGTCATGTTTTCAGGAAGAAGTGCTGCATTTAGTTCACTATCTCAGCACTCATAATTTTATTTACCCAAAAAATTTTATTTCACTTATTTGAAGAAAAAATGCTCTTTCAGACCAAATTAGTCGTTTTGGGAAAAGCCGTGTACCAGAACATCTTTTTACCATTTGAAAATAGACCTCTTGTCAAGCTGTCTTGGGTTATTAATTTAAAAAATTCGTCAAATATTTTAGTTCTAATGAAATCGCAATCTATTTAGCTCTAACTATACAAGAAAGAAAGTACAAATACGACGTGCAATCAGTTTATAATGAAGATTTTTACTTTTGAGTTTATGAGCGTCTGAATATGCCACTCATTTTCAATCAATTTTGGCCAATTTGGGGCATTGAAACGAAAAAATTGCATTAAAAAATAATTTTTGATTTACCAAACTTAAAACAATACTTTTGTAACTAGTACCCATAGGGCTTCATTCTGGGCGAGTTTGAAGAAATTCAATTTTTTCGGTATTTCCAAGTCTAGTTGGTATTTAGGCAAAGCTGCTCTTAAAGACTTGAACACTGTAAAAGTGAACTTATTTTCCACAGGTGGTAAATTTTGTATCCACAACTAACCAAAATACATCAGTTTCTCATCACTGGTCATGGTGTTCATAACAACAGTTAATTATTGGTAGACTTTGATTAGCTCTAAATACCTCTCTCTATATAGAATCTTTGGCAAGGCTGATTGGCATGTGTTAGTACCAATTTTCCTCTATTTTATTAAACAACTTAGAGCAACAATTCTTTTGATTTTAGAATACTGGGTATATTACCAGTTTCTTCCCAATATAATTGTGAGATATTAGTATTACAGAAAGTGTGTGTTGTGATATCAGGGCATACAAGGTTTAAGCACAGTTGGTAATAATAATTATTATAGTTTAGCTCATCACCTTGCTCTTCTGCTGAACTGTGTTGTACTTCTTTTAAATACTAAACTAAAAGCAACAAAAATTACTCCTTGTAAATATCAAGTTGTCCACACACAAAACAATATTGATATTTAAATACAGTTTTACATGGGCCCACATTAAAACTTGTATTATGTAAACTGGAAAAAAGGTTCATTAAATAGCCTAAGCATAATTTTTCCATATCATTTTCAAAATTATATCTTTTCAAGGGTGCCAAAGGGGGGGGGGGAGGATTTGCCAAAACTCCCCCTACCCACTTATGATGAGGTGTTTTTATTTCAAAACTATTGTTATCAAAACAGTGAAATGTATCTCCAAAGGATGACAAAAGTATGAATATTGAGGTTACAGATCAATCACTTCCCTCCCCTTCCTCCCACTGTCCCCAAGCCCCCTCCCCTCCTATTAACCACCCCTGCAAAAATCACCTGTATTCATCACTTTGTCCATATGCAATCACAATGTCGGTGAATTCTTTCATCACTGTTTCAGCGCATTTATTCATAAGCTGCAATGCTCTCAGATCGTTTGGTTTTTCAAAACCATGTTCATCAGAAAACCTAAAAGTTGAAATAAACATAAGCTCATTTAACGATCTTGTTGATCACTTCATCACGAATGAAGTTACCAAGCATGTGTGGTTAGTGTACCGGTGAAAATTCCTTCCATCGATTCGAATGACAATCCAGCAGTTCAAGAGGCATTGATCGTTCTGCTCAAACTTTCTTACGTACTCATACTTGCTTTTGGCCATTTTTTTCCCAGCATTTCAGAGCCATCGCTAGAGATACTTTTGCCGCGAAAAACCCGCCATTTTTTTTACTTAGTAACCAAGCCAACACGACAAGGCTTGGCTCCAGTCTCCAGACTGGGTAATTTCCAACATGGCGGATGAACCGAACACTGAAGAAAATAATGAACCAAAACGAGACGATTTCTATGGATTTGCCCTTTATACTTTTAAAGCACGCAGGTACAGCCCTAAAGATTTTATTCATTCCACATATCTTTTGTTAATTATTTGCAATTTTAGGCCGAACAATGCTGAAGTGGATAGAAATGAGAACGGCGAAGACGATGAAGACGGAGGCGTGGCGAGCAAAGCAGCTGTAGCCGCCGAGGGATCTGTGGCTGATTTTCTTCGTAAAGAAGCGACTTCTAATAACGATTTTAGGTGATCTATTTTTTATTTTTATTTATATATATATTTTTTAACTAACTTCGTGAATTCTCCGTACTTGACACTGGCTTGAGGCCGTTTTCAAATGGTGCTGAAGTCTTACCAACAGTGCTAAAGTGATTATTGAATGATAATCATGATCAGACGAGTCTCATTTTGATAGTAGGTAACTAAAGCAGCAGAAGATGGAATTTATGTGCTTGTATCATGTACATTGATATCATATAGTTACTGACAAACTATGTTAACTTTGTAATTGGCCATAACATGCCTTACTATATTTCATAATCTAAATCACTTGCATGTAAAGATATGAAATTATAGTGAAATGCACCCATAATTTAAAAAGACAATGTTGCGTTTACACATAGTTAGTTACAAGATAGGATTTATCATTCCAGTACATATACTAATACAGACTGACTAGTTCAATCTTTTTCCAAACAATACTGCAAGCTGATGAATGTAAGGCCTGGCCATTGATACAATCCTCTCTGGAAAAATGTGCTTGTGCAGATTTCAGCAATTCAGTAACCGTAAACGAAAAAAAAAGTAGCTGTGCCATGAAACATGCAAGAATAGACTGTACTACCCTGAAACTCCATTACCAAGTGAATAACATTACTGTCATTCTGTTGTAGTCTGTCATTGTTGAGCACAAACCTATCAGGAGTGCAGGAAACTGAACTGAGGACATTCATGGCCAAACGACTTACAAGAGGAACTGTATACAGTGGAAGCGGTAATATCAATACTCTGGAGAACTTTTTTCCTGATGAGTCAGCACTTTGCTATTACTGTTTGCTGAGAGGAGGAAAGGAGAATGGCGAAGAATACAGAGATCAACAAGAAATGTACGTCTTTAGCTAATGGGATAGTTTAGGCTTTGGGTATGATTTAGTGTAAAACTGATTTTGGTTCAAGCTTTTTCATAATACAGTGGAACCCCATTAATCCGGTCACCAACGGATCACAGAAATCTTGCTGTAATAACAAGGTGGCCGTATTAATGGGGTGGCCATAAGGCAGGGTTCCACTGTATATAAATTTTGCCAAGTTTAAAAGCAGAGTCCCACAGTTATTGTATAGGCCTTTATTTAACTCTAAATTTATTTGATTACATCATTTTAGCATGCAGATAGCTCACGCACACACAGTGTAGGTAGTGTGCATTTATATATACAGATAACTTCTGGACAAATTATTATGCAACAGCCAATTTTTTTTTAGCTTGACAGGTCCACTAGTTTGCAGCAGCTCTTCAGATATAACTGTTTGGTTTATTTGTGTCATATGCATTGTGATGATTGGAAACAAAGAAAACTTAAAGTCAAACTGGTTTGTAAAACTTAGGCTAAAGATAGAATTTAAATCCCAGCAGGTGCATACTGATATTTGTTTTCTTGTGCATCAAGAAGGTTAGGAGAAGTGTTGTATTAGAGAATGTAATATTCATAAGTTGGCAAGGAAAAACATTAATTAAAACCTTTTTGACAAATTAGGTCATTATGGGTTTCAACTTTTGGTTTGTATGGATTTAATAGTTTTGCTATTTGAATTGAAGGGACTCTATCGAATTTGGAAGTTACCTGTCAAAAGACTACGTTGTGTGCCTTGTCTCTGGTAGCAAGAGTGGGTTAGAACTGTATCCTTTTAAATGTTGACATTTCAGTATATTATTCTTTAATATGATTGAATTTGTTATTTTGGTGATAAGGGTGCATGTATATCACTGTTGCAGTAATGAAATTTGTCTTGAGCTATAAATATTAGAATACTGGAGAGCCCTATAAGACAAACATTTGTTGCTTTATGTACGCTCTGCACATATGATGCTTCAAATTATATATCAACATGTTTTAAATTTGTTAAAATATTAAGAGAAAAATTAAGGTTAAGAGTTGGTGAAGGACAGCTATGTGCACAAGCATAGTTTTTCACATTATATGTTGATTTCACAAATCACAATAACACGTTAGTACTCCTACAGGGAATGTCATTCTACAGTTTACTGAAATCAAACTGTTTACATATTATGGGCAGAGCGGTGATTTGTTAGCATTCGGAACAGTTTTGGCTATGGCAACATTGTCACCAGCCAACTGGGATAATATCATTTTTCATGAGATGCAAAGTCTTGTTTAGAATTATACATATTATGGGCAGAGCAGTGATTTGTTAACATTCGGAACAGTTTTGGCTATGGCAACATTATCGCCAGCCAACTGGGATAATATCATTTTTCATGAGGTGCAAAGTCTTGTTTGTAGTTGGCTGTATTTCATACCTTTCATCAAGAATGGCTTCATGAAAAACACAAAGTTTCATAGATTGCATCAGTGGAACCTTAACAGCCATCTTAGATTTCAAAAGGAACTTGATGAATATAGCAATGGACTCCTTCCATACATTGACAAATATACTGTAAGTTTACTGCATGCAACCCATTCATTCTGTATCACCTAGTAAGTAAAGCGTCTCTTTCAACTGTCATTCTCCTTGTCCATGTAGTTTTTTTTTTTTGACTTCTCAAATTCTTTATTTTTTCACACATTCCTATAAAGCCTCTCCCCCCCCCCCCCTGAATAATTCTCATTCAGTTTTTTTTTGATATATGGTGCTATGATTGGGTGATTTTTTTACACTTTAGAAATACCATCTGCAACATCGTCTTTTTCACAGCCCCAAAAAGTGGCATAATTTCCATTTATGACATCCCAAAATTTCAACATGCCTTGTCCCCACATCCTCTCCTGTTCATGTGGTTATTGTCATGGTATTGTCTTGGCAATTAGGTCTTTTATGTTTCCAAATAATTTATTGTGCTTTGTTGGAATTCATTAAGTGGCATATTTCAAAAAGCTTTTTTCTTAGAATCTGCCAATCATGCAATGTACATTAATTTTGTTATCATTGAAGGAATCTCAAGATGTGCAGGAAAGTTTTAAACATCTGGAAGCTTGGTATGATGAAAATGTAAGTTGTTCTTGACCATGTCTCTTCCTTCAAGTTATACTTCAACTGCACCTTGGATCTCCACCTATGTTTCTCGAAGGTTCTTCCCTCTTTTTCTTGCTTTGGGGTCCACTACTGAAGTAGGAGCCTTTCAAACCTGTGGAATGGAAGTGCTAAACACATGTTGCTAATCAGCACTTGTGCTTACACTTTCTAACCCCTGGGTGAAAAGAGGCACTGTGAGCTCTAATAGTGTCTCGCCCAAGAACAACACAACTTCCCTGATCAACAAGTCAACCATTAAACCACCAAACATCCCACCAGTTGAGGTTTTAAAAATGATTACATATTAATGGGATTAATTGTGGAGGTTTTGCCCTTATCTTCCAAGTACACACCCAGCTTCTTAAATTCACACTGAGATATCAACTGAGTTTGCCCAAACATTCACTCTTGTACTCATGCTTAAGAAAAGAATGGTCACTAGTCCATGTTTTGACATCCTGGTGTAGTAGGTAATAACTTAAGTTGGAGTCCAGTAGACTTCGTTACAATTCAGAATAAATGCAATTAGAGTAGAGAGCAAACTGGGTTGACTTGGAGGCAAACTTACTCAATCTCTCCATAAGAATGTGGTGGAAACCCAGACACTGCAAACTTGTTTGGGTATGAAACCTTTGGATACCATACCAATGCAATTTGTAACTGTTGATGATAATTTCACATTCATAGGTTAAGTTTGTTTGTCGTTGTACAAGCTTGTTAAAGGAAGACCTTTCTGTTCTCATAGGATTGGTGAGTGCTCTTGTTGCATAAGTGTGATAAGAACATTTATTTCAAAACGTCACCCTTATATTACCCATTATTTAATAACAACATGTACAAGAAATTATAAATAATAAATTCCAAAAGGTCTTGATAGTAGCAGACAAGTAAAGAATTTTAAGAAAGGACAAAAGTTACGTTTGAGTTTACAAAACATGTTTCGACAGAAACTTCTGTCCTCAGTTAATCCAAGTACAAAGCAATGGAAGCTGAATTTATAATAAGTCAAAAATGCTAATTGTGATAAATAGTAACAACAGAATGAAACAAAGCGTGAAAGTGTGAGAATTAAAGAGATAATTTTAGATTAACATGGTGTAATTGTTGATTCATAGAGGACTGGTCTCTCTGGAAACAATCTGCTGAACACAAGGCGTGCCAATGTTCAGAATTTTGCAGATGTTTTAAAATGTGAGAGACCCTTTCACTGGCTAAATGCTCTTTCACACGCCTGGAAAAATGCCAGACCATTTCGCCACCTAAACAGGCATTACAGCCCCCACATGCAAACTTGTAAACGACACGTGAGCGGAGCCTGCCAGGGATAGGGTCTTTCACGCCAAACATGTATTTCCCACCGTCAAAACTACTGACATTTGCTCATCACTTAATAGTCAGAGAGTGTGTCATTTTTGATTGCTTGCTGCCTCTTGCTTTGCTTAGTTCTCTTCATCCCAGGTAGGATGGTCCTTCGCAGGATGTTGTGCCTTGCCCCACGTCAAGCCCATCTCTTTTAGCTCAGCCATCACAGTATGTCTCCAAGTTTCGCCCTTGCTTCCTTCTCCCAGGTGGTGTCCATCTGAGAGTGGTTTTGGCGATGCAGTCCTGGTTCATTCTAAGGACATGACCAAGCCATCAGATCCAGTGGCATTGAGTCATTTTTAATTAGTTTTGTTTTATTTTTGTCTACAGGGTCTGTTAGGAGGCAAGTTAGAAGTACAAGGTGATGAAAGACTGAAAAAGGATATGAAAATGTGAGTGGCAAAGTTATGCCATGATTGTTGATATTGCTTCAATCAAAGAAATAAAACAAAATCTTGAACTTAGTGGTTGCTTCTCTTTTTTCATCGTAGGTTTGTTGATGCTTGTAGCACAGTTCATGTTTTGGGAAAATCAGCTGAATCAGATGCTTCTAAGGTAGTTGAAGTGTTTCTTTTTTTTTCTAAGGGTGAAATGTCATATGAATGATCAAATTTTCCTTACAATATATGGTTAAACATTAAAAAAGGTTTCTTATGTTTTGATAAAAGTGAACAAAACAGAATTTTTTGTTAGGTCAGCTGGTCAAAATTGAACTATGTATTTGAGCTTAGCAGTTAATATTATTATAATGACTAATGACCAGTTTTTGTAGTGTTAGTGATCAGGAATATTGCTACTCCCATCTTAACTCTTCTTGTAGAACAACTGTTGCACGACAAGAAGAGTTTGTGATGACATGATTACCATGCTTTAAGTGGTTACCGGTTTACAAGAAGTCCAATAACCCAACAAACCACAGAGGCACATGACTGCACTGCAGACAGCATGTCAGTGGTTTTATAATAATTTACTTTTTTAGCCTACAGAAATGACAAGATTTTCTCTATCTGGATAAAGTTTCCTTTTCAATCTTTGTTTGCAAGACTAGTTCATGTACAATGGCCCTTTTCACAGTTAACCTTTCTCATTTATATTACAATATACTCTGGCTTGTGTGTGAGGCAATTTTGGGCTACTTTGTAGTTTCAGCCTGAAATTATCATGCATCCACGTTGGATAACGTTGTAATGCAAAGGAGCAAAACTAGCCGCAAAAAGGGTGATATTAAAATCTTGGATCTTTTCTGTCTTGCATCCTCTTCACTCCACAGGATGGTTCTTCCCTCTTACAATCAGAGCTTGACAAAAAACCCTTTTGCTTTTGGGTCAGTAACCTTCCCTGCTCAATTGCCCAATGGGCAAGGGCCCAGGCAAGCCTTTCACTCTCTGTTTAAAACCTTGAGCAAGTGGGAAGTGCTTTAAGTGAGCACAGGTTTTTGGTGGTAGAGTGGGTGCCTGCATGTGGTGGGAAGTGAAGTGCACTGCTCAAAATAGGGTCAGGTGGCGGGCACTAGTGGATGACCTATGTTCCATCGGGAATAAGAGGATTGAGTGAGTGGGAGTGGGTGTCTGCCCAAAGGGCTAGCGGGAATCAGAATTACTCATGCCTTGACAATCCTATGGGAAATGTTTTGTCAACTTAACTGTCTGGATACTTGCCATTTCTTGTGGTTGTTTGGTCCCTTAGAAGATGTATACCAAAAATGCTTTTTCATTCCAAACTGATATATTAGATGAGATGTTTAATTTTTTTTTTTTTTCGGCAGGATACAGAAAACCTAGAATCTGAATGTACTTCAGTTATACCTACAGAAGTTATCTTTAAAAAAGATGGTTCAGAATATACTCTTAGCAGTAAAGGTATTTACATTAATTAACTGTACATTAATTTATGGAAGTTTGCAGAATCGTTAAATAGGTCTGCAATGAGTTTAATTACCACTGCTTCCATGAATATCTATGCATTGTAGTAAAAGTGTTACCAGTATAATAAATTTAAAGGGGATGAAAAATAGGTCTGCAAGGCATATGTGCATCTACTGATTCTGTGAAGCTGTAGGCACCATGCCAGGAGACAGTTGACTGTGGTATTGGTAGGGACAGGTGAACAGTTTTTCAAAGAATATGTGTGTCCATTGCAGCTTTGTGCATAATATAAGTAAAATCTGCATACAAGCCTGGAGGCCCATCAGGCCGGTGCTTATCTCCGGTTTCAGTAGAATGAAGTGACTAGGAGTATTTCTACTCCCCCCTGGATGGGATGCTAGTCCATCGCAGGGTTACCCCCAGCATTAATTCGCTGGTACCCATTTATACACCTGGGTGGAGAGAGGCACTGTGAGAACACAACACAATGTCCCTGGCCAGGCCTTGAACCTGGACCGCATGATCCAGAGACGAGCACACTAACCATGAGGCTGCTATGCCTGCCTTGTGTTAATTTAGGGTAGTTGTATTTCAGAATAGCCTTCATGTTGAAACTTCCACTTTAAGACACCTTTTCTGAAGGAAAACAGAGTAATGGTCGTAAGCAGGCTGCACAGTAAAACGCTACATTATAACCTGCTATAAGGGGGCACCTCCCATAAGCTGGGACACCAAGTCATGGCTGCAGCTAAAGACGAACACCTCATTAGTTTGTAACCTCGAGTAGGATCAGCTCTATTGACACTGATCAGGCAAAACGCAATTTTTCATGTGTGATCACACTGACTCTTCACTGATGTAAAAATAATCACGATAATCTTTTTCCTTTCTTTCTCTTTTCTTCAGTTTCTACGCGGTTCTGTAGGGAATGGGCCAAAACAATGTTGAGTGATGCAGTAGACAATCCCGTGTTCCTTCGACAAGTGATAGAGAACTACAAACTGAGGGTATGTAAAGAAAGATTAGATTACAATCTTCTCGTATTAAACCTAAGATCCCCGTAATGATCTTAGTACGATTTTGCTTTGGATCAGTCAGAACCTCTTAGAGTAATCTTCAAAATCTCTGTCTCTCAACAGTGTATGGCCCGCGTAGCAGGCGTTATAAGCCCAAGCCCTTCCTCTTCCCCATTAAAGCCTGAACCGCAGGCTTAGAGTATAATATTACAGTCCTGCTTGCTGCGCCTCCTTTCTCCCACATTTCCATTCTACTTCTCGTTCCTGGGGCGTGACGCTACTCGTTAACGTTGCGTAACGATCCCTGTACGGTAGCGGCTATGACAGAGTTTACGTTGATCACGGAGAAGATCGTTACAGTTGGTTTTTTGAATCGCAAACCATTTGATTGAAAGGGGCTGAGATGTTTTGTAGTTGCGAAGACTGAAGGAGTATTTCAAGTTCGATTATCCATGAAAACTACAGTCTTTTTGCAAAATATGTTGCACAAGAGTAACTTAAAGACTACAGGGAGAGTTGAAAATAGTAATTTATGAAGCCCGAACATCGAAGCTCTAAGTGATATTAGTGACGAGTGACAGAATCTCTGAGTGTTTCCCGTTTGACTTACAGCGCAAAGCCAATTCTCTTTCCTTCCGGCATTTCAGGAAGGAAATTGGCGGGAAATTGCACGTCTGCGCAGATGCTCCTGAGCAAATTCGCCATTCATTGAAATCACCTCTCGTATAGCAACAAAACTCTCCTGTACAAACTTTTCAAATAGGAACAAATGCCTTCCAGTTTTATTATATCTTTCTTTGCCGTTGGTCAGTTGCCAGGTTATTAACTGTTATTTTCTGGAATGTCTTTGAACCTGACTAGTATTGGTTACCCTTTGCACCAAAGTCTTTCCGTGTACAATTTTTTCTTTTTTTTTTCCATCCCGAAACGTGAAAAGAAACAACCCCCTGATGCTCAGGGCGCGCATTAATACGCTTGTTTCTGCACTCGACAACTGCATCTTTTTTTATATGTTCGTAATTTATATTGATGCCATCATTCGTTTTTCATGTACTCTCTTCATTGTACAGAATCTTTTGATATTGTAACCATCGCAGTTTCAATAGGCGTATTTTCTTTCGATAACAAAAGGCAAAATTCTGCCTTTTATTTCAACGAAATCCCACAAAAGCGCAAATTTGACATTTCAGTTTTCCCTCCATTTGTTAAGATTTGTTAAGACTGTTAAGCTATCACTAGTCTTAGTCATTTTGATCAAAAACTTTGGCCAAGCTTTCAACAGATTTTTTTTTCTTCTTCGTTTTTTTTTTTTTGAAAACAGTAATGCGTTAGCTTAATTTTGAATTCAATTTCTAAAGATACTCTCGTGTACACAAGATAATCCCTCTAATCTGTTAATTTTGATGAGCAATAAAGAACTTGAATAGATGGCAATTAAACGTCAAACTCGCCGGAACATTAATCAAATGCTGGGGAAAATTCCGTCCACTCTCAACTGCGCAGTGCTTTTTTTAGAACAGAAAATTCTTTTAACTTTGACTTGGGATTGTGTTCCGTAATAGGAAACAAGCTAACCCGCAAAATTCAGAAATGGTCCTCTAAAGAATTAAGACTTTGAAAGCCTTCTAAATTATTCATTATTCCTGCCATTAATCACAAGTTTCGACAAGTTTAATTACCTTTTTCCTTTTGTTTGTGTTTTTGCACCTCGACGTGTCACATCTATTATCACTGTCGAGACTGGGTTGACATCTTAACGTCATGATGTTTTTTCGTCCTTCAGGTAAATCACGATTTGAATACATTAAAGAGACTTTTAAGACAAGCAGAGACAGATCATTACTCGCTGTACAGGTCAGTATTGAACTGAGATACCAAACTTTAATTTTATTAATTTCATAATGCGCACCCAAACAACAGGGTTGCCCGGAAGCCGTGCGCGCGAACATATTAGCTGATTTCAACTGCGATATTCGCCTTGGAGAGTTAAACCATAGAGAATTAATTCACGGGCGAGTATGCAACAAATCGTTTAATACCCACCATTACAAGCGCCAATGAACACAGGGAGTTTTACTGTGGAATTTTTTCGACTTATTGCTAGCTTGAGGCTTTTGATCAGTACTTTCGATCTCTCATTATTTTTTTCTGTCATACACTATCTTGATAGGGGCGTTGGCTTCTCTGTTCAAGTCAAACATGGAAGTCACAGAAGACTAATCAGCAAAATATTTAAGCGGAATTTTCTATTGGTTTTAATGTTAAGCAACTCATAGGTTTCGTGCGTTGCATCCTCAGTGAATCCCTAAACGTTTTAACTGAAGTTGCCATATTTTCTGTTAGTGAGATACAGATATCATTGTCGTGTTAAGAGACCTTAATAGTGAGTCTGTAAGAACTCTAGAGTCCTAAGGTACCCTTTTATACAGAAAATCAATATCAGAAATGTATTTAGGAAACCCTGTTTCTGCAGCTGTACGGAGCCATTCACGCGTTCCCTAAGTAACGCTGTCATTTCGTTGCTTTTGACCATGTTTTTCCGCAGTACATATTTGACTCTCGCTTGGAGAATGTTTTAACCGAGCCGAGCTCGACAGGAAAGTACTGCTTAGTGCAGCTGGTAGATTTTATTTGAATTGTCACACACTAGGCTCAAAAGTTAAAACTCGAAGTTTGACTCGAGGTGAATGATTCAATATTTCGTGATAACCTGTTTGCGCTAGTTGGTCGTTAAATTTTAACGCCTTTTCTCGAGGGAAAGTTCTGTTTGTTCAGCTATTTGCGCAGTTGTTTCAAGGCGCGCCGAGATGAAAACAAAACAAAACTTGGGCCATTTGGCGTGTTATCTAAACATCCCTTTCCGGGGTTTGACGCTTTGTTGCGCTTCAAGGCAATAACATTGACCTTAACTCTCTCTTTAGGCCACTGCCAACACAGTAAGATTTGTGCTTTATTGTCATTAATATCTCTAATTGCGTTCGCTTTGTTCCTGTTTGCGTCACTGAGATGAAAAGATGTTTTGGAATACCAACGCCCCTCTCTTGAAAATGCTCGCAGGCTAACAACCCTTTTGATTTATGGCTTTATAACGCAGTCAAGTTGATGCGCCTTAGTTTCTCGTATTCCTTTCCTTTCTCGCGTGGGGCAATGTTTCGAAATGTTTTTCCTTTGTGCGTTAGAGGAGCTTTTCCTGGTGAGACGAACTGTCCTTTGTTCGCCCCTTATCAAAGCCGGTTAAGGCGTCAATGATGCGATCAAGGGACCCTGTTATTTTGGCCGACTGATTACCTTAGCTAATGTTATCGTAAAATCGTCTACTGAGATAGAATGCAAATTTTCTCGGGTAGTTTTCTCACAAACACCGCAGACTTGATGACGCGATCGCACGCATCGGTCTCACAAACGGCGGGAAAATTGACCAATCGTGTACGTCCGTGACCGCAGCAATACTATTGGCTCCTGATGTCAGCATTTGATTGGTCGAACAGATTATAGCTACAGATTACAGTTCGACGTTTTAAATCCAGAGCAAAGCTTCGTGAAATCGAATTGCACATGTGGAAACTGAAGGATTTAAATTGGCTTATTGGCGCTTCCTTTAGTTTAACCTCGAGGGACCTAGGCACTTGAGATAATCTGTAATCTGGCAAGAAACGTTTTGATATAGTTTACATAAGAGATTATTGAACTACATTGTAGTTACCGTACTTAAGTAACAGATTAGCATCTATTTTGTCTCGAAACTGATAAACCTTATGCAAGGGCCACTATTGTATGCTGAAAAGTTTTGTAAGAGTTTGTGCCTGTCAACATAATGTAAAGCGAAGTCGTATTGGATCTGATTTTGTGCAGCGCGGCTGGTCCTTTCTCTAATGAAGACACGGCTTTTCTTATATCTTTGAGGTCGGTCACGTCACGATTGCATTGACCAGTAGTCTTGTAGGGTTGCGAGCGGCACTGTGGGAAATGACGGACTGATAACACGTCACCTAGGTCAGATGGAAGGCTCGATGGCGGCACGGGAATTTTAATTAGTTCTGGAACTCGTCCAGAAATAATTTCTACCATCATCCGCCGTCTGTATCTACATTTAGCAGGGCCAAAATTGAAATGGAGAGACTGTTGGGCTGTGTCGGTGAGCAAGTGGAAGACCGAGGTAAATGAACCCCCCTTAGCGAGTTGTTCTCTTTGCTCTGACGAAGAGCCAATATGATACTCGAAACGTAAGCTTCATAAACTTGCTGCGTGGTTCAGTAATTTACCGTTATCTACTTCAGTATTGCAACAGTCTGTCTTTCGTGATTATCGTGAATTGCAGCTCTCTTGACGCGGTAACATTATCATCAATGGCTAGGTGTTGTGACTTTCAGAAAGTGAGAAAATGCCGGAGATAACAGTGCAGCAAGATTTTGTCTGGAATCGCTCAGTTCAAACGGGCTTTCAACTAACGACCCAGGTTAATCGTGGCGTTCCGCGAATGCAAACGGATTTTTTACTTGTTGGTTCACGCCATGCAGGGAGTGAAAAGCAAGGCTGTAAAATTTTCCTACTTTTCAAAGATTTTTTCTGCAGGTCGCATGAAGTGTAATCCACGTTTAACTATGAGCAATCTTGTTATAATTCTCCATTTGAGAATTTTATAATCATAGCTTGAATCTCCTTGAGTTTGTCATAAGGACGTAAAAAAAAGTGAGAATTGGAGATACAGGTAACGTGATCAATTTGCTCATAAGGAAGTGAAATTTTTTAATCAAAAAATGACTGTATATGGATGAACAATGCGTCCTACAATCAAGTATTCCGGATAAATTAGCACCTTTCTGAATGTCGTGTGGGTTCATGTTAAAACATTCATACTTTGCGGTTTTCCTCTGCTGGCCGCGTGGGTTTTCCTTTATCAGAACCAATTATGTAAACCTAACGCGTTTGACAGTTTTACTCGCAAAAAGATTGAGAAACAGTGTTAGTTCTCAACCGTTCTTTGCCCACGACAGCTTTTGAGTGAAAGACACAAAAAGTAACTCAGTGGTTACAGGGACTGTCTCGCCAGACGCGCTTGTAAATGCACCTTCAGGAACCCTCGCGAGGATGAAAATTATGTCATTGGATTGGCACGATGCATTAAATTTCTGGATGTAGCTAGAACGTCCGACAATTGTGTTAAAAAACCCATTCCTATACTGTTTGCAACCCGCCGTGATAGACCACAAGCACGACAACGTGCAATGTTTCACCTTTTCGAATGTTCTGACTCGTGCGCCAACGCAAAACTGCATCGTTTTGGAACTTAATTTCCGGATCAGTTTAACAACACACCCTCGCTGAAATCTTGGAATTTAAATACGACTTGAAAAATTTATTTCTTGTTCAACTCTTTGTTGTCTAGTTTCAATGACATTTACCACGTGACCGTTCTAAATTACTTCAATGCACAATTGGTAGAACTGTGACCTGCATTCTGCAATCTACTCCCCTCGCCGGGACCGTATATTCTTGCACCCGCCCTCTTTCCGTAAGATCCTACGCACAACGGAAATGTATCAATTAACGCTCAGTACCATTATAAAAACGAAACGGGGCGCTGGAATTTTTCCATGTATGCTTTCTTCTTCTAATTTTAGATGCCTCTTATTATTTTCATTTTGACTCATCATCCCCTCCAGCTCTGCTATTTGATTTTAAGTAGCCATCCCACCATTTTTTGAATGATTTCGAAAAAATTGGTCTAAAGCATTCCTAGATCACAGTTAACGTGATATTAATAGACAGATGCAGGGCAAAAGAAGGTTTCGTTTCTCCACACGTGATTTCGTTTCTCTACACGTGATTTCGTTTTTCTACACGTAATTTAGTATTTTTTTTCATTGTTAGGTACGTCATCGGAGCACGTGAGCTGTTTATTGCGACTGATCTCAAAAAAATCTCTTTGCGCATATCGAGAGAAAAATACCTTGTGAGAAACTAGAAATCTAGAAAAAATTTATGTCGTCGAGAAGTATTGTATTAATTCTGTATTGCCATCATTAATTAATTCTAACCCTTTTATCCGCCTTTTTTGACGGAAACTGCAATCGCACTGCTTCCCTTTTCCTTGGACTGCCCAGTAATACTTGGATATATAACTCGCTTGTAAAATGCATTTGTTAACGATATTTTGAAAGTGCATTTTATATGCCCTTTTCAAAACTTCAAGTAGTGAAATCCCAACCCCTCTTTATACCTCCCTCTTGAAAAAGGAACCCCTTTCAGGAGAAGCCTCCCTTCACGTCCATTGTAGGGAGTATACCCCTCCCCCCTCCCCCCTCCCCCCTTCCTATCGTGGGGCTCTGGCGAGAGTGAAAATGGATTGCAGCATGTGAAGTTCACGTTTACAAGATTAGATTGAATTATTTTAATATTTTGTCATATTGTAGAATTAACAGAGAAATTTACCGTCAGTATTAAGTTGCCACATATTACCTTGTTGTTTTCACAAATCTATAAAGAATTTTAGGTTCGTGCAAACGTGTTTACAATACGCAGAGAACGCTTTACTTCTCTTGGAAGTACGGTGCAGTATTTTACAAATGGTTAATGTCTTTCAGCAGTGTTTCTAACCATAGGAATTCAGTAAATAACGACTGTAACGAGACGTGTAGTTCAAAGGCCTTTGCGTAAATATGCCTCGAGGCAAAACCAGTTGAAGTGTAACCTCCGATCAGGCGTTCTTTTGCTTTCGGTGAACTTTCATCGTTCGCCGAAAAACAAAGAACACCTGATCGCAGTGTAGTTGATGTGGCTCTCCGAATATACTCTTGCGCCGTACTGTCCACTAACCTCACTATAAAGTATTTGTTTGTCTCTTTCACGTGAAGTGGTGTTTGAATCGAATGGAACTTAAAGGCTTAAACGAAAATATATAATGTGGAAGCTATAGAGAAACATTCCAGAATGTTCAAAGTGGACATTACTGAAGCAGATGATGGTTTTTTTTTAAAATATATATATATATATATATCGGGTCGACATAGATCGAGTATTGACCAGTCGAGAAAGTTGACGATAAGCCGACACTGAGATATCTGTGAGATTTCATCATTCCTAGAATATTTTTAGCACATTTTCGACTTTTTGACTTGGATCTCCTTAATTTAATTATAGTGAGATGTGCAAGTCTTCCCCAAAACCCTTCTTTAGTAGTGACTCGGCTGAAAACCGCGCCTCATCTTTAAGCCTTCGTGTTCACGTGTGGTGCAAGTGATACATACCTGACAGTAACCTATGCAGAGAGTCAGCTGCATAAGCATTAGTGCTTTAGGATGAAAGTATTTCTTGAGTTGCTTTTTAACTATTTGTTATGAACCTTGGAAAATCGTTTTTCCGTTTTCAAATTTTGCATCATACAATAATAGGTTTATGTTCCTGAAATGGCATGCACTAAAATGGCTTTCGCGTTGTAGGGCGAAAGCGATACTCAGGACCATTTGTGTTTTAATTTTATAACCTCAGCTGCTACTTAGATTTCCTTATGTTGAGAGAAAGTTTGGTGGCAGGAACATACGAATTGGGAGAATAAGGTCTCATAAAACTTATGGTGGACATTTTTTTTGCCGTTGCTGCGCCATTGCTGTGGAATCCTCTGCCTCTGTCAAAGATTCTACATCACTTGACACTTTTAAACGTAGACTCAAAAAGCATTTTTTTTTCTTGAGTGCTTACTACGGATGCTGATTTTTTATTGTTTTATTATGGTTTTACTTTTTTTAAATTTAGTCAATTTTAGATAGTTTTGGTAAGTTTTAAGTTAGTTTTAGCGAATTTTAAATCTGTAAAGCGCCGTTGGACCACTAGGAAACAGCGCTGTATAAGTGTCTTATTATTATTATTATTATTATTATTATTATTATTATTATTATTATTGATTTGTCGCCTTTCTTTCACGGGTTCTTTACACTCTGCTCTTTGGTGATTGGTGCCTTGAGCTACGCGGAATATTTTTCTCTTCCTTAATTGCAAAGAGTTGCACGGTTTCCTGCATTCATCCAATGCGTAATCCCACCGGACCCTGCGCGGTGTGCTTTTTGGAGGGTTAACAATGTTGAAGAGTTTGTTACAAAAAGTGGATTTACGCTGTCAGTTGAAGTCAGCTGATTTGTGTTTTTATGTTTTACAGGTCGTACGTATTTCTGCTGAAATGTGGAAATGGTCCCATCCTTCTCCGTAACACGACGTTAGAAGCCCGTGCACTGTGTTCTGTGGACACACTGAATGTCATCAGAGTACTGGAAGAGTACATTGAAGAAAATGATAAATTTGGAATCGAAGCTCTGTCAGAGTAAACTGAAACGACCAGATAATAAAGCTATTTCCATGTGGAGCGCAAGGATGACATATCAAACTTTATGTTTAATCTTTGGTGGACAATGGCTCTGGGATTAACTTCCTTTTGTGGGCATTTTTATAGTTTGCAGCTTTGAGGCTCTTTTGTTTCTAGAACAAAAGTTTGAAAGAACCGACGCGTAGCAAATTTCCGAGCGCGAGATTCAAAATCTTCGTTGACGACCAGATGTTGACAATATCACCCTTCTCGGTGTAGGGTAAGGGAAATTTCGCTCAGAACAACGACAATTTTACCGGGGGTACGCAAGGAAAAATTTGTTTCATGACGCGCGGGCTGTAAAAGTTTCAATGTATTTCCCTTCTTCGCGCAGAAAATATAAATGGTATTAAACTGTGCGGGATGTGTGTCATATGTTTCAAATGAATGGAGATGGAATTCGACGACGATAGAAGGCAAGACATCGGCATAGACCTCGATAGACCATATACGAAATGACGTCATTGAGGAAGACGGTCAATTTAGAGAACTTGCAGGACTCTTCTTCTCAATATACTCAATATATTATTGATTAGTTTACGAGTTTTTGAATAAACTTGAAGGTAAAAGAGCTTTAAAACGATGCCTCCTAACGCTTGCTACAGTAGAGCCTCGGATCTCGAACTCCCTGGTATCCCGAACTCAATTCGTTTTCCCTTGGATATGCTTTTTTCAGTCACTTACTAGCGGCTATCGCGAAATCCTAACGTCTCGAACTATTTGTCGTTTTGCTTGGTTCAGCTGTCACTTTCCTCTCTCTCTCCCCAAGCCTCTCCTGTTTTCCGAATCCAAGATGGCGCTCGTCCTATCAAAATGCGCTACAAGTAGCTTGCTCGCTTAATACGCCTTACTTCAGCCAAAACTCTCGGATCCACACTGAAAATGAAGAAGAAAACAACGCGTAGGAAAAGAGAGTGGTTTACATAAAAATTAACTCGCGGTTGAAAAAGGAAATAAATTCACCGATTCAGTAATGGAGTGCGCCACTCTCTAAATCGGAATTACAATGGTTGCGCTCTTGTATTGTCTTTTGCGTTAAACTTTGTTTAGCATTCAAGGGCAACCTCAAAACCGCAATACGTTAAAACGTTTGTCATTCAAGCATCACATAATTCAGTAACTAATGAGTTTACAGAAAAACTCTCTCTAAACTTAGACTGAATTTTAAGATAAATAATTATTCGACGTGTACTTATTCCAAATTTTTGCTTAAAAATATATAATTCAAACATGATTCATCCCCTCTTTACATGAATTGTAGGTTATCCGTTTTGTGTCGAGATGGTTGTATTTTTAAATCCGCAATTCTACTTCAAGATAACACGCCGTGATAAGTAAAATTACATTGTTGCGGTTAGAACGGGAACTTTATACCAGTTCTGTTTTACTTTTTTCAATTTATGCCTGTACATATTGATAATAATCTCGCAAAAAAAAACCCATGACTGTGTCGTTTCGGTCCCTCCGTTCGCTACCGAAAGAGGGACCCGCTTTCTATATTCCGTGCTTCACAGTTCTCCGAAAAGAAAGTTTACCGATATGATCGGAAAAAAATCATCATTATTAGAAGAGGACCTTGGGCTATTATATTGTGGTTCATTAACACGTTTCTGTGGAAACACCGCTTTGTCGGTAGAGAGTTTGATTCTTGCACAACAGACGCAAAAAAAGTTCGGTTTCAGTTTCTTCAAAGAGCATTGGAACAATGTCGTGGCACGTGACTGTCATTAGCGTTTAGTCGGCTTTATTTGTTTATTTTCTTTAAAACAAATTCGCCTCGAGCGACACAAAAGGAGAAATTCTCAATGATGTAGCCACTTGTATGACAAACAGACCTCGCAGCAATAGCTTCTTTCGAATGTCCTATTTCGTTGATCGAACGTCTGATCAAGTCTATCAAAATGCTCTTTTTACAGGATGAAAAATGAATTATGCCTGGTTTAAAAACGAGTTTTTCGTATTTTAATAAACTTATCATTAACGACATTATCTGGTAACGGCTATATATTCATACTAAGCCTTCTTCTATTTTGATGTCTATTTTTCTTTTAATTCCGCCAAAACAAATTTAGTATGAAAAGAATATTCAAAGAATGTGATGGCATCAGAGAAAATTGCCATCTTTCCAGAAGAAGAATTACATCTTTTTATAAAGTAAAGATATTCTTGTTAATTTAACAAAAATTCAGAAGACACTTAAATCGTAACACATTATTTCAACGATCAGTCATCTTTGTAAATATTGTCAATATTTACATGTAAATTTGAAGTATCGATCGCGTCTAAACAAACCCTTGGTAGATTTTCCGCTGATAGCGCTGGCCTTGAGGTCAAATTTATTTTAAGCTGAACTTTCCCACAATAAACCAATCAGCATTATACATGATAATATCACAAGTAAGAGGATTCAGTGAATGCGCTGAAGTTCCTAATGTTATCAATTTTCGCACGACGGAGATTCACTTAGAATTTTCCCGTATATTTCGATAAGTCATGTGTTGCATTCATTGCTTTGGAGACTTCCGCAATGATTTCACAATGCTTGGCGAGTTCCCCACTCCCCCAACGCTTGGCGAAGTAACAAGAAATTGTGAGAAATTTCTAGAATCTTGAAGGGCCCGCACCCGATGTGGCCGTGGTTAACAAGGAAGTAATATATTGCTTTACAACCAGTACTTCGGGACGCTGTCACGCAAAAACCAACCCGCAACGTAGACAAAACCCAGACAGCATTTTCCACAAAGCTTGAAAAATTGCGTCATTGTTTACACAGTATACAGTATGCCTTTTGAAAAGGCATGGCCAAAGACCTTTGTCCAGTCCTGTGAGCTAAATAAAGAAAACATCATTCGTGCTGGCAAGCACGTTTCCAAAATCAAAAGTTTTATAGGCAGCCTTCACTTCGCAATTCCCTTTAGTCTGTGTTGCGGCTGAAACAAAAAAAGCTTTGAAAATCAAATGTTTTATCAGATACCAGTATCTAATTGTTCTGTCGATACACTCAATCCAGTGCTACAAGGCGTCCTGCCGTAATAGGCTGAAAATTTAATGAAGTATTGACTGGACTCAATAACGTTCTTCATTAAATGAGAAACAATACCGCAAAATTACTTCAGTTCACTTGAAGTATAACCTGCTTAAGTATGAAACGTAAATTTTCCTTTCTGAAAAAGTATGCATATTTATAAGGGAGCTATTGACACGTGGGCTATTGAGCCGGAATGAGAAATCAATTCGAATAGGCAATCCAATACGAAGAAGATAGCGAAGAAACTTCTTTTTCTTGCCGTAGTCTATCTTTGCAGAAAACTTCAAATTAATATGTATACAATATTCACAGTGGGGAACTTGAATACGTGCGGTCCATAATTTAACATTTTTGTCCGCAATTGAAAGGGATTGCGGACACGCATCCAAAAAAAAAGTCTCAACTTGTCAAAATTAACTCGCATACAATACGTCCTGATCACGCGCGCCTAAACAAATATTTGTCACAAAAGACACTGCATGTGAACGTTCCCAAACTAAATTTATTCATGGTAGGAAAATTCAGGGCAGTAGGGTTTTGTTTGCCGAGTTTTGCGAAGCCAATCGACGACAGCTGAAGTGTTATTTCGGCGCGCTTTTTAATCCCAATACGCGCTCCGATTGGTCCAACTGGTTTGATTGACAGAGTATCACATGACCCAAACCTCAATTTCTCAAAGGCGTGATTGATTTTCAAACGAGTCGCTCGCTGTAGTCGACTCTCTTCTCGACCTTACTAATAAATTATTCGTGGATCTGTAGTCGCCGCATTTCGGTTCTCTTGCAAGGCGACCGCTTCAATAATGTTTAAGTTTTTTTCAAGGACACGAGACAGGAGCTCCGGTCATCTGAAGGACAAACAAGGACAGGATTTGCTTCTGTTCAACAAGGTTTGGTTTTGGCGGTTTTCTCGTCTTTCTCTTTGAATAGAATGTAACTCCAGGGACATGTGCTCGTATAAATACCCTCAATTTCTTGCAGGCTGTAGAACACGGATTTCCACCGAAACCCTCAGCAATCGCTCACGATTCGGAGCTAAACTTGTTGGCTGTTGGAACAAGCAATGGACTGCTGAAAATGTATCCTTTGGTAGTAAGATAAGAGAGGTTTTTGTCGAAAGCGGAGGTCTCCCACCCTTACCCAGACAGTCCGTTTGGCTTTGTCTCAGAAATGTCTATAACACCTATACGGAATTAAATTGTATTTCCAGAAATGGCAGGATTTTTTTGTCGGTTCGATGCATATAGGAGTTCGAAACTTAGGAAATTCAGATAGATCTATCAATTCGTAGTCAGGATAAATCATGATTTAATTGCATATTCAAGCGAGTACAGTAGTTCGAAAGCCCAAAAGGCAACTAACATGTGCGGCCTTTACACACTTCAAACGTAAACTTTAGGGCTTAGTCATCCGTGATTTCTCTGTTTCTTCCAAACGTCAAGAACTATGAGTCTTGCGCTTCTCAGTTATGATGAAATAGCATCGTGGGAACTTTCAAAACACCATTCCCAAGGGCCATGATTTGCACGCTGTTCTTGCGTTAAACACGAGCTCACTTTAAAATTATGGCTCCTAGATTATCCTTCGCTGTAGTTTTCATGTAGAAATTTAGGCAAATGTAGTTTTCGTTGAGGATAGGAGCTCGTATTTTGCACAAACAGTGCAGATCGGCCATATTCCTTCTTGCGTATAAACACACGTGTCCTCGCTTGCAAGTAGCTTCCATCGATATGCGTTCGATTAATTCCCACTTTTGTCGTGGCATTAGGCCCCTTGTTATGGTGTGCAGATGGCTGGGACAATCTTGTTTCAGGAAATCTAACCAAGCTGATCTTTGATCAGGACGAGGCAAGCTTCCAGCAACTCTACTCGGAAACCGTTCACTTCGTCTGTTGCTACGAGAGAAATTTTATTTTTGCGAGGAAACCAGCGTGTCGTTTTTTTCTAAATAATTCTAAATGAAGTTAATGTGGTTTCAAGTCGGGCTAAACGAAAGAAACAAGCATAGCGTTTTACGAACTTGGAAACCGAAATTCTTAAGAGGCATTACAACCAAGCAAAATTCTGCGTTGACGATAAACTGAAGATGTCCATGTCTTCGTGGTTCCATAATTCAGCGCACCGTTAATTTTCTTCCATGTTCGATGTTAGCCATCGAGAGCGCTCTTCTCGCTAATTTTCATTATTTTGCACCTGTTTGATGGCTCCACGAGAGTCATCTTGTGATATACGTTTGTCTAGAAAACTGCATTTAGGTATTTTTAGTCACGCGCTCATCATTATTTTGTTTATAATATATTCTCCATTCAAACAGTATATACATCCCTGGTATATTTTCTTTGACTCGTCTGTTAGCTATGGTCGACCTGGAGTGGAGCTTTCTGCTCGTCATCAGCAAGAAACAGTGATTCAAGAGTTACATTTTCTGCCCGAACAGGTAACTAACCGGCGAACAAGTTCTGTCGATCCTTCGACTGCAATCGATAGAGGGGAAAATTGAGGGTGTGTTTTGCAGGGTGGGGCTATTTTGAATGAAATTAGTCGAGAAAATTCTGCTTGTAGCTCTTGCAAAATGGTTGATTTTTACTGTCATTGCCTGAAATATTATCGATTGCAATCTTTTCGACTAAATTGAAACGGCTTTTGCTTTACAGACTGGTTAGCTTCTCACACAGGAAATCAATACAAGCTTATTTATTTTGTCTTGCATTAGAATAAATTTAGGTGTCGATTTCAAACAGTAGAATGACCTAGGTGCTATTTTTATGTTGTGCTGCTAAAAAAATGATCCAAACACGAATCTTCTTTGTTACTTGTAGGTCCTATGTTACTCCTGATTTGTGTTCGTTTGTGATCAAGCGTTTAAAATTTGGTTGGAAAGTAAACAGAGATTCTAGAATTTATCAAAGTATTGATATTAGCAGTTGTTTATAAGTGAATAAAATCACTTGGCCTTAGTAGAAAGGACTACCATTGTGCAATTCATCATTTCTATTTTTTTCACAGAAATTTTCACACTTGCAGCACTGCTAAGCAATAAATTCTTAAAATATATTTTTCTCTAGCACCATGAAATTATATTCCGTCCAACCTTTGCTCAGATTGATTATAGCAGGTCACACTGCATGTTACTTCATGGCCTCTCTGCTTGGGCAAATTTGGTGTAATCTTACATTTCAAAACAGTTCAACTTTGTTCAAGTTCAAAAATTGAAATAGGAAATCCCTATTTCCAGCTCTGACCTTCATTGTAGATTTTTAGTAATGCCTTATATTCTCTCTGTTAGCCCACAGACCTGGTGTTCGGGCACATTGAGCTTAAATTTTCTTACAGTTGCCAAAAACAATATTGTACGTGTACTCTGGTCAAAGTTCGGTTGTTGATCATTTCAAGTTTCAATTCTGACGCTCAAAGTAAATTTCCACAAGTCACTTCACATCACTGATTACAAATTTTGCCTTTGTATTACATTGAAGAGATAATCTTTTACAAGTTTTGCTCAAAATGTTCAATGTTGGAATTGTTCCTGCACTAATTGTAGAGCTATTTTGCAAAGGTTTTCTGTATTGCAACAAGAATTTTATGAAATTTCAAACAAATGCAAGTCTAATTGCAAAACAGTCCCATGATAGTCATAACCCTTCAGTTTAAGTCACTGTTAGTCAAAAACCATATTTTTCTCAAGTTGAAGCTAGGTTAAAGTTTGGTTTCCTTTATATCGTCAATGTTTCAAGGGAAACATGCTTAAAGTTGACAATGCATGTTTTTTTTTAGTTAAGGGAATATTTACATTAATTAACATCTTGTTAATTCCGTGAAGTCATGTAATCTGTGCCAGTTAGGTCTCCAGTTTTTGTTCAGAGCTGTGTTTGTACTTCTGGGGTAATTACCATTTACATGGGGAAACCGGAAGTTCCAGTTGGAAAATCAAATGGTTCGCGCCATTCCGTTTGGGAAGCTTCTGAAAATATGGGTTGTGATTTGAGGTGATGCTATTTTTCCACTCTTTTAAGTCTCTCTAGCTGATGTGGATATACTTTATAGCGATTCCCTCTCCCGCAACGTCGCATTCAACTGTTTAATATTTTTGCCTGAAATTTCCAACCAGATGGTTTCTGTAAATGGTAAGCACCCCTGTTTTATTTGCTTCTAGCCAAACTACGTAAGAGGGGCATGAAGTCAAATGCATGCAGGTTTTTCATGCTCCATTTATCAGGATAGAACTGCTGTGTTTATGCAGTTGGTGATCTTAAAAATTATAGACTTTTTAAGGGGTGTTGAGTTATAAGAGGTATTGGCTTTTTGAGGTGCCATTTGCTGCATTACTAAGACAGAAATTTTATAATTAGAACATACTATAAAGAACAAAAAAGAGAATTTACAATTCTGTACTGCTTTCATGAAGATCATTTGGGTCTATTGTGATGTATTTTGTATTGTAAATCTGCTTGTGACAATTCATTTATTGATGCAAACTTTTTAGTTTTAAGTTAAGTTTTAAGTTGATTTGTTGGTTATTGTAGAGGCTTCCAGTATGATCCAAAGTAAAATGAGTGGTCGGTCCTGTTTTATACATTTGGAACTATGGTTCTCCCGTCAAACCAAACAGAAGTGACATTGTTTAATATGTTAATTACTAGTCTGAAATTTGTGAAATTTTTAACGAAGTTAAACAATCTTGTAATATAACCCAGTTGTTCAATCAAAGGCTTTTGTCGACCTGCTAAATTTGTGATAACAATCGTAATAACTATTTTAAGCAAATTCCGGCTACTCTGTCTTGAATTAATTTTGTTGTAATCATTTAGTTGATTTTGCAAGGCTAACTTATACTTCTTATTGGACACATGATAGGAAGCAAATATATTTTCTTGTAATTTAGTGCTTTTACATGTAGATGAGCACAATTTGAAATATTGCTCCAAAAGGTTTTGTTTTGTAGCTTCATTTTTGTATGTTATACCGACAAATTTTGCTCTCCTTTGTTTTGTGTAAAGAAGGATGGTTGTGATTCGTCTTGTTTGAATTATCTTTGTTTTTCTTTCAATACATCTTACCACAATTGGATGTAGATTAATTTTAATAGCAGGTGACTGTTAGACTTGAGACAAGTTAAGAATTATCACCAGTTTATGTAGTGATAAATTGGGGCATGTAAGTGAAAGAAATTTTTCTGAACATTTTGAGGCTCGAATATGCAGAAGTTTAGAAAAATCGTTAAGTTCAGTTGAACCCAATCTCCTTACAGGCATCTATGTTCATGTACATACAATACACTGGGTCCCAGAGAAACCAGATTCCTTGTAATCTCTACCTGTACACTCTCTCTTGACTCTTAAGTTTCTGTATGATAGCCATTTGACTGTATTTTGTACTGTAAAGTAGAAGGATTGGTAATGCCCTACCATAGAAATCACTAGGTCCTCACTGCAATTTACAATATTCTGTATTACAAATTTGTCACTTGCATATTGTAGATCTTTTTAAAAATTAGAATGGAACCTCGTTTGGACTACTGCTAGTCAGGAATGTGTTAGTAACCAGGGAGTTTTTTCAACACTTAATTGAAAGCTCTTGACCTCAAAAACACAATATATGTTGCTTTCTAGAAATCACCCTTGGTTGTGTCTCAGCTATTAATTATTTTCAGCTTGTCTTGTTAGTGTGTGGGATTGTCAAAAGTTGCCGGCAGCAAGCTCAAGTCACCATCTTTGTTATGATCAGCAGGCTACTGTCCTAGGCTAGTCTATTTCTTGAGAAAAGACAGCAAAATCCAATATCTATTCTAGGAATAGAGCTCTTAACTTCAAAACTATGAGACATTGTGTGGACATGTACCTACAAAACAACGGTAGACAAAAAAAATACAGCTGAAAGAATATTCTTAATAAACCTCACATGTTTGTCATACTGCAATATCATAAATCACTTTTAATATTGGCCTCTGCATATTAAGTTGTAAATGAAAGCCAAATAATTCTAAAGAAGAAATAAACTCTGGATAAATTGTACATGATCTTCCAGTTCTTAAATTGAAAAAGTGCCAATTTGCTAAGTTATCGCAGAATTTGGCATTCCTTGAAATAATTATCAATACTGCAAGGTTGTTCTTTTGATTTATTCCAGGCATCAGTGACATTTATATTGCCTTGTGTAGGTAAATTGCAAACAGATCAATTCAATGCTATGCTTTTTTTTGCACGTAAATCAGTTCAAGATAAATGAGACATCCTGTAGTTGAACTCTGTGTCTAAAATGTCACATAAACTGTAGTGTGGAAACACTACTTGTAAAACAGTTTTTTTCCATGAGCACAAATATGGTTTTTCAGGGAAGGAAAAGTAAATATAAAATAATCCTTAAGTTTATGTAAGTTTTATTTATCTTTCAATCACCAATCCCAGCTGAAAACCGTTTTAAATTTGGATGAAAACCAAGAGAGACAAGCAAGAATTAAAAGTTATTCATATACCTCATGTGAGACTACATGATATGTCTATCACTTTAAAATGCCTTTCTCATTGTGACAACCCAAATTTCACGATAAACTTCTAGTGATAGTTTTCAGTAAGTACATTGATAAAGAGATGATGGTTAGGTGTTAAATCAAATCTGCATGTGCATCTGATAAAAACCCAAATACTGTAATAGACCTGTGTGAGAATGCTTACTGTCACCTACTCCAAAAAATTATCCGTCTGCTTCTAATTTTTGGGAGAACCCTGTTGAAGATCGGATTTGATTTATTTTACAAATGAAGAAGCCCTAATGGTGCTCTGTCAGCAGAAGGACGTTACATAAGCATGAAATTAGTGTCATGGGAAAAGAATGACAAATGTGTTTGTACAGTTTTTGGAGTGTTTTTGTCACTTCCAAGTTGCCTTCCATTAAAACATTCTTCTTTCTTATAATATGGTAGGGCTTATTTCCTCGAGACAGTTACTTCAGTTTTGCAAAAGTTGAGCAATAAAAATTATTTTGAAAACACTAAGGTGCACCAAATGGGATTGTTTCAATATTGTCTGTGCCAGATAAGCCATCAGCATGCAAAATTAAATGCTCCTTGAACAAAAAAAACAAAACAGAGAGAACAATAGAAGCTTTTTATTTTTATGTTTGGTTACTTAAGCATGTTATGTAAGCTCTCCTCATGAATTGTCCATGGAATATTTCTAGGGACGTATCATCAGTGTCTGTGATGATGGAGAACAAAACACAATTCACCTTTGGGAAGTCAACAAAAAGGAAGGAAAATCAGTTCTGGAGGAGGTGAAGACGTGCACTCTGGAGGGAAGGTAAAAAATCGTTTCGCAATGGAACATGAAACTGTAGCTAGTCTTGCCAAGAATATCAAAATTGGACTTTGAAACTTGAAAGTGAAAGGTCATTCCTAGAAATCTATGCCTTTGAAACTATAAATTACCTTTTGTGCCTGCCAAAACATTGTATATAATTAAATACACTGCCCATGAACATGTAGTTATAAGGCAGTTAAATTTTCAAACATACAAAGCAAAAATATTTGGATCCTTGATCTTGTTTTCGTAAGCAACTGTAAGGCTTTTGAGCAGTGTCTTTTCTTGTTGTGCTATGAAATCTCTTATCTGCAGGGTTCCAGCATCATTTCTAATGCTAATTTTACATTTTGTCTGGATCTTCTAGACTAAAGAAGATCTCTGTGTGCTGTTTATCCATGAAGACCAATCGTCTCTACCTTGGCACAGAGGGAGGTAACATCTATCTGTTGGACATCAACTCGTTTGAGCTTCAGGAATACATCATTTACCAGGATGTCGTGATGCAAAGGTTGGTGGGATATCTGTGAAACTGCATTTTACTTGCGTTCTCATGCCTATGACATCTCAAGAAAAAGTTCCCTTCCACACTTATATTTGTATTTCATTTGCATGTAGTTTTCAGGCAAAAAACCCTGAAATTCCACCAAACAACTTTCTTATTTTCCATAGAAACCCTGATAGCATTGAGAACATTTCAGCTGAAAAGACTGACACAACAGAATGTTTTTATTGATATTGTTGACAAATGACAAGGTTGAATTAAAAATGTGGAAAGTGAAGTTAAAAACTTATTAAAGAGGAAAAAGGGCATGTAACACTGAGTGTGTTCTGTAATTCGGCCAATCCACAGTAAAACATTAATCACTGTATCATTTTAAAGGGATAGAGCTTTCAAGTGGTCATATTTTGTTATCTCGATTGGTAATTTGAACATTAAGTGAAAACAATAAATGTTATTGTTAAGGTGTGTAGACAGCAGGCGAAAAACAAGGTATTGTTCAAGACCAGCCCATCAATACCCTAATCCCCTGGGTTGTTTTCATAATATTCAGCATAACCAAGACTTACAGTTGCATTTCTGCTATTAATGCACTTGGTGATCTTAAAGGTCACTCTAGAGACAGTGATGATTATATTTTGGAGCCATCAGTTATTAGCTGCTAATAAAATCTTGCTCTTAGTGTCCAAGAGGAGAGCAAGACCAATGCAGGTTCTGTGGAGGCCATCCAGGAACATCCAGAGGATTCCAACAAGGTGAGAATGCAGCCGCATAAACCTCTTTGAGCTGCATGCTTTGACTTATTCAAGTTGTTTAATTGGAATTTGGAGAGTCTAAGTATTGGTGTTTGGAGCTCAGATAGTGCAGTTGTTTGATTTCTTGCCTGCTGGCTATGAGGCTTGAGTTCAGTTTGGGGTGAGAATTATATGGATGTGAGTTTTCCTCCCTCCTCAAAAACTGCCATTTTTACAAATTCTTTTTTGACATAATTGAAGGATCTAAAACTGCAAACCGGGCTTTTACATTTGGAGATAGAGCATTAAAGACCTCTCTATTGTACGGGTAAGAGTGGTTTATCACAAATGCACCTTCAAATATTGGCATTTTTCGAGTAGGAGCTTACTGGAATGAGGGAACTACAACAACTCATTGTGGTTTCTGTGTTCATGGATCACTCTGTTATAGACTTCTGATTGAGAATCTTGTTCTGTAGATTTTGATTGGCTACAAGAAAGGCCTGATTGTTCTTTGGAATCATGAGAGATGCAGTGTCCAAGCCACCTTCAGCGTCCAATCCTCTGATCAGCCACAGGAGGTGGAAAGCATCAGTTGGCATTCTGATGGAACCAAATTCATCAGTGCTCATGGTGATGGCAGCCTCACAAAGTGGTCGGTTGAAGGAAGCCCAGAAATACCCAAGGCTGTTACCCCTCTGGGACCCTTCCCTTGCAAGGCTATCACCAAAGTGGAGTGGAGTGATTCTTCTGTGTTCTTCAGTGGTGGGATGCCTCGTGCAAGCTATGGTGACAGGCACTGTGTGTCGCTAATTCAAGATGCCAACTTGGTTGACGGGGGTGACAACACCCCGCAAGTTGCATTTGACTTTACCTCGCGTGTTGTGGACTTTTTCACTGTGAAAGCCAATGGAGCGGGTATGTGTGGATAAAAGGGAAACAATTTTTGCTTCCCTAGTCAACTTCCAATAAAATTAGGTGTGTAACCGTCACTTTTGCTCGATGGTTGGACCATTGTGGGCAATTGGCTCTTGCAGTTTACAGTTAAGTTCAAGCACAGACTAGTGGAGTGCTTCTTGATCGTAAGGCAGTCATTTTCCTGTGAAGGCCTTCCATTCTGTTAAAAATAAGATTTGCTGTTGTCTAAGACAATTCTGTTTGACTTTTTATAGATCCAGCTTATTTGGTTGTGTTGTGTGAAGAGGAACTGGTCGTCATTGACCTGATCACCAAAGAAGCAGGGTAAGATAAATGATCAGAACTTTATTTAGTACCTTTATATCATAAAAAAAAACATTATGAATAACATATTTGTTAAGAATTGCACACAAATTGAGCTGTGAAAGCCAACCAAAGACAGAAAGAAAAAGATGACTGCCGTGCTCAAACTTGTGAGCTTGACTTGTTTCGCTTCCTAGAAACCACATCAAGTTAGTCATTTTGGCACTTATTTTTCTGGCTGTTATGTTTAAGTGGTAGGAGTTATCAAACTAGTTTTCTTTCAACTGAAGGGAGCACACTTGAGGAATGCATTATTGAATGTGCATCAAATCAAAGAAAATCCTATATAACTCCAAATAGAAAGCATTTCATCATTTCAGTCTGATTTTCACCAGGGATGTCATAGAGGATATAACAAATTCTCATACAGTTTTTGACAGCATCTCAAACAAGTAGATCACATTTGGCTTAATATTTTGCTAATAGCCTGATCAATTGATTGATTGGTTGACTTGTTCTTGATCATTTGCACAGGTTCCCTACATTCATGAAACCTTACCTGGTCTGCCTGCACTCTTCTCCAATCACATGTTCATATCACAGCCATGACTGTCCACAGAGTCTGTTTGACCAAATATTAAATGCTGGAAAGAAACAACTGCAAACTGACTTTTCTAGTGAGGTAAGTTATGTAGTTGTTATTGTTTTGTGCAATGGTGTTAGGTGTAGTGATCAAATGGTTTGCGCATTGACCTTTGGGGCATGAGGTCCAGGTAAGAGTCGGGCTGGCATAGTTGGGGTGGGTTATGGTGTAAGAAAGTAGAGACGTCTCACAGCACCTCTCTAACCAAGAGTGTAGATTGTTACCAGTAGCTTGTTAAGGCAATGTTGTCAAGACGGTGGGTGCGACCTGTGTTGGACAAGCATCCCATGGGGGGGAGTGTTGATGATTCTTCAAAGGGTCTGGTAATAGGTCTTGTAAGGTCTTCCATGAATGAATCAATGCCCTTTGAGAGAACAATAGAACAAAGACAAGAAATAATGTTCCTAGCCCCAAAGTAATGTAGCTACCATTCTATGAGGGCAAACAGGATAACAAGCTTCTGAGAGCTGCTGCACTTCTGTCTTGTCAAAATCATTAGAGGGATTACCTTGTGAATAAAGCCTATATAAGGGGATTAATTCCTTGCCCTTCATTCTCTTTTGATCTTGAAGCATCATGCTACTTAAACCAGAACTAGATGAGGCAGTGTACAAACAGGGTTCTTACACACAGTGAAAGTTGTTGATAGGCCTTGAATTTGAAAATCAAAATTTCATGCCCTGGAAGTCTGTAAAAAGTACATTGGGTCGTAAAAAAACATGAAATTTGTTGTTGAACTGTTTGACTAAGAAGGACAAAAAAAACACAGGAGGCAAGCTGGCCTAACAGTTAACATTTTTCAACATCTAAAGACGTCAGATAGCTTGGGTCTAGGGATTTTATCTGAAGGAAGTTTCATTTTGTTGCAGAGCTGGCCTATTACAGGTGGCAAACCTTTAGTTGAAGGTGGAGAAGCCAAGGACCTTCTTGTAACAGGGTGAGTTATTTTTGTATTTGCGTTTCCTTGTCCTTTCCTGGTCCAGCCAGCTGTTTCCCTTACATGATGGTGAAGCAAGGTGCTTTATTCTCACTGTACCACTCACCCATCCGAATGACTCGTATTAGTGACCTGTTGGGGAAATGGGGTAACCTGCAATTTACTCGCATTCCGTCAAGAATTGCTAGAACTCTCCCAAATATAAACAACAGGCTTTTAATTAGTGCACCTACTTCAGGAGATACAGCTAGCAAAAAATCTAACTTTTGCTAGGCATGTTTTGATTACATGAATTATGTTTCTGTTTCTTGTAGACATGAAGATGGTTCCATCAACTTCTGGGATGTTTCTCAGCTTGAAATGTGTCTCATTTACACTCTCCAAACTGCCAAGTATTTTGTTGGCGAACATGAAGGCCATGAATCCGAGACCAGAGATGCAGAAGAAGAAGTTTGGCCACCATTCAAGAAAGTTGGAAACTACTGCCCATACTCCGATGATCCACGATTTGCTGTGACCAAGATAATCTTGTCGCCAAAAGCAAAGAGCCTGACAGTGGCTGGAAATGGAGGTCAAGTTCTCATCTTTGACCTGTCAGAGGAAGAAACCAGCGTAGAACTTCAGGTATGACACAGTTACTTTGTACCAATCTTACTTCAGGGTTTGCACGGTATATAAAGTTGCTTTAAGCTGGAAACATTCTGATATCTCTATCAATCTTGTAAATTACTTGGGTTGATGACTCCCCGATCATAATAAATCAAAATATTAAATAAAGCGCTTAAAGTGTCATTTAATTTAGCACTCACTGCTGTAATAATTGAGGACTCTATGAATCGAGAGACAAATAATGGAAACAGAACTAAAAACTGGTTAAAAATCCCCACTGGTTTGAGGCTGACCAGTTGGCTATTTAAATAAGATGCGGAGGAGTTGAATTCGGGACCCCCATTCACAAATTCCATCCTTTGGTTGAACCTGGGACCTCCAAATTTGAAAACCAGCAACCTAACCACACCGCCTTCTCCAATCATGCATATCCATTAAATATACTTATTATAATTTATTTCCTATCAGATGGTGGAAATCGACTTTACTGAAGACAAGGAAAATTTCCAGTGGAAGGGTCATGGTCCCTTGCTTCCCAAGGAAGGTTCAGTCACAGTTCCTGCAGGTTTCAAACTGCAAACTGGTCTCCAGCTTATCCCAGCTGCACAGGTCAGTGCACTGGTCGTGGAAACTCAATGGGGACTCCTAGCAGCTGGTACTGTTCATGGGTTCATCTTGTATGATTACTTAAATAAGAAGACAGTCACAACAAAATGGACAGTCAGCCAAGGTAAGCTGTGCTTTGAAGTTTTTTTACTCTAATAGAAGGAAAAAAATGAAGGAAGAAGCTTGACTCTCCGATGTATTCATCAGTATCGTAAAATAGACACACCTTAAAGCATGAAGCTAAAATTTATGCTTGACACGGTTATTCGCCCAATTCAAATTTTGTTTAATTCCATACGGTCATTTTGTGATTTTTATCTGCTGTTGTTTTCTAGTCCTCTTTTGTGGTAGGTTGAAGGTTTTGTTTCATCCTAAATACAATTACACAATAATAATGTGTCATATGTAACCATCATTACGTAACAGAGTGCAAATCTCTGACAAACATGAAGATTAATTCGCATTTGATACTTTCTTGTTCAAGAAACGGACAATGGAGAGCATCTTTCCAGAAGAAAATCGTTGAAAGAGAGCATCCGGAGATCCTTCCGTCGGTTACGTTCTCGTAAAGGATCCAGGGGTGGTGCAGAAAGAACACCCAAGAAAGAAGGTGAAGCTCCAGCATCCCCCACACCAGAGGCAGTGGCTTCTCCAGTGTCACGCCTTGTTGAGGAAAACCGTGTAGATGAGAGTGTGCTAAGCATGGTGCGCTGTTTATACTTTGTTGACACCTTCGTCAGGGATGGTAAGGCATTGATTATCAATGCTTACATTTGATTAGAGTAACAGTGCTCTGGCTAGCTGTTATCAAAGTTGTCTTTCCTAATTTGGATATGATTTTGCCAGATGCTACCAAAGTTTTGAAAAATACTGGATAAAATTATTCTGCAAGGCAAAATAGAACCAGTGTTTTGGGGAAATTGCACAGGACTACCCTGATGGAAATGGTTTATAGTCAACTGAATTTGAATTAGTGGCCAGCTGTCAAGAAAACAAAATTTCCATTCTAGGCTGGTGCAGTTTTGAATCTGTTTGTCATGTTTTTTTTTTTCTTTCTCATGTGACATTTCTTTTCTTTCTCCATGTTTGTCATGTTTTTTCTTCATTTTGCAAGAGAATGATTATGATGCAACTTTATGGCTGGGACAGTGGCCTTTTAAGGATACCATAATTTTCATTTGCACTTCAATAAACTGTTGAACCCAAACCTTTGTCCTCAGGAGTACATCACTGTCCATCGCTCTGGGCCGGAACCAATGCAGGCCACATCTATGTGTGTTACCTGACCATCCCTGAAGGAGAGAAGAGAAGTGAGGAGGAGGTTCAAGTAGAGATCGGCAAAGAGATCAAACTGAAACACAAAGCACCTGTTGTGTCCATGTTTGTTGTTGATAAGGATGGAATGCCACTGCTAGGAAATGTCATGGAGGATAAAGATAAAGGTAATTTTCAGTGCGTTGTTCACTCTGGGGGATATAGGATGAGTAGCTGGCCAATTTTCAAATTGGCCTCTGGATTGCACAGTCTTGAGTTTCATCACTGACCAGGATCATATGTTGTGTTCTTGGGCAGACAATCTACTCTTTTAGACTGCAGGACTTGAAAAAACCTTAAATTCTGTAAGTGCCCAAAATAATTGAGACACCTCAAGAAAATGACACCTTGAGACGATTAACTCCTTATTTTATCTCGAATGCATCTAGCTATAATTTTCTGATCCACTCGGCCACCCAATCCAATATTCTGTGGGTGCTCTGTGCAGTCTTGAAGAAAAAAGCAAAACCATCATTTGTTTGTGGGGGAGGTGGGATGTTTTATTTTTATTAACTTTCAGGTCAGTGGTTGATTTTTTCCCTTTTGTTTTTGGCAATCTCTTAGAACCTGACATGAGCGGAACACATTCCTTAGTGATTTGTTCTGAAGAACAGTTTAAAGTGTTCAGTCTACCCCATCTGAAGGCACGTAACAAGGAGAAGCTCACAGCCATTGATGGCTCAAGAGTGCGTAAGATTGGCCTGATCAATGTGAGAAGCAAGAATGATGATTCTGGAATGGTTTACCACTGCTTGGCTTGTGTAAGCAACCAAGGAGATTTGATCGTCTATTCCATTCCAAACCTGAAAATCCAGATCAAGGCCTCTGCCATGAAAAAGTCAGATGTGGACGCTATTAGATCCCTGGTGTTCTCAGTCAGTGGTCAAGGATTCTATCTCAGTTCAAGAAGCGAGATGCAGCGGTTCACACTCTCTGCAACAGACTTGTAAGTGTGGTTTTTATTAAGATGTGTTTAATTGCTGTCAGTAAGTGACAATTGCAGCAAACCATAGTAGTCATAGTAGAACCCATAGTAGTCCTCAATAATATTTATTTATCAATACGATAACTGCAGAAATTCTCAAGTGCTCATTGGCTAATTTTCATTGTTAATAAGTGGACAGACAC